CACTCACCTCAGCCTCCCAAAGGCATGGGATTACAGGCTGAGCCACCGAGCCCAGCTCCTGCTTTGCTTTTATAGAGATAGAGATAGAATTTGATGCCTTCCTGTTTGCAAGTCTTTTTAAAAATAATCATAATTCACAAAAAGTTTCAAAAATCAAAGTTTTCCATACTCAGTTGATTAAATGATTTATAGATCTTTAATAGCAAAAACATATATCCAACCCCCCGTCCATCAAAAGTGGACTGGATGAAGAAAATGTGGTACATATACATGATGGAGTATTACACAGTCATAAAGAACAACAACATCATGGACTTCGCAGCAAATTGGATGGAGGTGGAGACCATCAAACTTAGTGATCTTTCACAGAAACAAAAAACTGAATACCGAATGTCCTCACTCATAAGTGAGACCTGAACATTAATCACAATAGCACAAGGGAGGGATGATCAGCAGTTGAGGGACACTGCCATGAGAGGGCGGGAGGGAGGGGAGGGACACACAGCATCGTAAAGGGTACCTTTATGGGAAGTGAGGGCCAGTCGGAAGTCCAAACTTCACCTACACAAAGCCTGCTTGTGTAACTAATCCTAACTTGTGCCCCACATATCTATAATAATAAACAATAAAGTAAAAGTTGCAGCACCTGGGGAAAAAACCCACAGATAAACAAGAGAAAGAGGGCTGCCATGTGGCATGTTTACGTGTGTGTATACTTAGTGCTGCCTTAAGAGCTCGGAGGTTCCAATGGAAGTTCCACAAGGCAGCCAACATGAATATTCAGATATACGTGTATCCGAATTGAAGGGCGAAATGTGTACATGTGTGAGTGTGTATGTGTGTATCAGAATTCAAAGGATGGTTTACGTGACAAAAAACTGTTTGGCTTCTTTCAGATCTATACTCCAGATTAATACCAATGGCTTAAAAGTTTATTTTTTTCCTGATAAATGGTCCAAACTCTGGAATAATAGTGTAGAATACTTCTCAATTTGAGTTTTTGTTTTGTTTTGCTTTTTGAATCAAGGACTCACTCTATTACCTGGGCTGGAGCACAGTCACAGCTCACTCAGCCTCAACCTTCTAGACTCAGATAGTCCTTCTGCCTCAGCCAACAAGTAACTGAGACTACAGCCAAGTACCACCATGCCTTGCTAATTTTTTGTAAAGGTGAAGTTGTTATCCAGGCTGGGCACAACTCCTGTGCTCAAGCAATCTTCCCACCTTGGCCTCCCAGAGTGCTGGGATTACAGGCATGAGCCACCATGTCCAGCTTCATTTTAGGTTTTTGTTAAACAGCTTCTCATGATTAGATTCAGGTTTTTCATTCTTAGAATTTCTCTAGAAATAAAGTTATGCTCCAGAAAAGAAGAAAATTGTTCTCCTCCCCCCACCCTCCCCCACCTTCCCATTTAGAAGCATGGTTGATTTATGGTTTTCTCAAGTTATTTTCCAAGTACAGTATAATCACTTTTCAGATCTCCACAGGTGCTTATGTGTCAAAATAAATGATAAAATATAGGTTCTCTGTAGACAAACTGATGTCCTAACTACCTCTTATAGCAGTTATAAAACCCTGTTATAATAAAGTACTAATTAACAAGCTGTTGGGAACTACCCTGCTATTCATTCTGTGGGAGTAGAAATCAATCCAAAGTCCAGGCTTACTGCACAGACACCTGCATCATGATGAAGGCCAACACAGGTGATGTACTTGTGGGGTTTCTACAATACCTCATACTGGTTCAGGAACATGTGCAGCTGCTGCACGCTGATTCTCAGATCAGTCTCATTGAACTCGTAAGGAATATTCCACCCCAAAGGTCCAAATTTTCGTCTTTCTTGTACCAAAGCATGAAAGAAGCAGAGGCCATAAAGCAATTTCTTGAATTCCTCCTATTACAAGAAGAGATGAAGCCACGTCATTATTTTTCCCCTAAATTACATTATATTTACCATATTTTAAAATGGAAGTGATTAAATTCCTTTCATTTATAGGATCAATCCCAAAGTATCATAAAAACAATTCAGCATGCTCCTAAGGAGCTTTAGGCAAAGCACGCCCCTTTGTACACACGTTCAGTTTGCACACACAGCTGCACAGCCCAGGCTTTTAGGAAGCCCAGGGCCCCAGCTAACTCAGTGCCACCCTAAGATGTCGGAAGTTCCAATGGAAGTCCCACGAGGCGGCAAACATGAATTGCAGTGTGTGCTCCCAGATCTCCATGGGGAACTTCAGCGGTAAGCATACGAGTCCTTTAAAGAGCTCCAAAATCCACAAAGAGAATGTAAAATGACACAGACAGAACTCGAGAGAGGACTTGTAGAGAGATGTCTTCAGAGAGAGCAGCTGCTGTGCTGGGAGTCCCTTCCAAGCCCCCGAGGGAGGAGGGTGCATGGGGCCTACTGTCTGTCTAAGTTAGTGAGGAGGAATGATGGGACATTTGAGAACTGAGTGACACATGCTCCCTGCAGCCGGGCAGGGTGGGACAGGGCCTGATGCACGCCTGAACAAGCAAGCAGTCTGTGCACGGCTGCAGGATGAGGGTGAGAGACACAAGTCACCCCACTCTCGGAGGTGGGCTCATCCCAGGGGAATCCCAAGGAGCAACGGGGAGCATGGGCTAAGATGGCAGCTGGGGTTGTCTTGAAGGTGTCCTGGTGAGAGGACTCCTTCTGGGGCAAGGATGCACCAACAGTCAGAGTGCATGAGGGGTGCTGGGAGCCCACTGCTGGGGTGACAGGTCACAGGCAGGGAGTACAGCAGGAGCCGATGGAGAACCCTCAGAAGGGCTCACCAGAGCCTCCTTGAAGAGTGTGAGTCAGCGTTAAGCCCCTGCCAAGTCCAGAGGGTGCCAAGCAATGCCAGCCCAGATCAGAAAATCCTGCCCTCCCACCTGTGTGGCCACACCCCATCTGTGTGGTCAGTCTCAGCAGCTCCCCAGCACAGAAGGAGTTATGGAAAGAAAGATGCCAACTCCACCTGCCTCTCCTGAGGGCACAAAACCCCAACCACAGGCCCCACGTGGGAGGCTGAGTAGTGGAAACCTCCGTCTTTAATACAAGTTGAAGGAGTGATTAGTTTCTGAATGAAGGCTGGCTGTTCAGTTTAAAATGACTACAGGACACTTTCTTACCTAACAGTGACCAGAAAAGTCATGGAGATGCCCACAGTTTTATCCAAGCGCAGGGAAAGGGTTTCCCTCATGGAATAAACTTGAAAATGAGAGTGGAAGACAAAACAAAAGCAGCATAAATTTAACCACAGAGATGGCAGAAAGTAGAGTTAGACATGTAAGCTAATTCTGGAAGTATTTTAGATACAGTGGAGATCGGAGCAGATCAGTGAGTGTGCTGATGTTGAAGGCCAGGTGTCTCACATCAGAGGAATGAACATGAGCAGGAGAGCCTGCAGACAGACCGAAACTGGAGGAACTAGTATGAATGCACCATTTCTAATATGTGTACACAGGTGTGTACGTGTACCATATGTGTACACATATTTGCATATTTGTGTGTGTGTGTGTGTGTATACACCTATATTTTTGCAAGGGTCAAAAGCCACAGTTGTTGCTGTAGCCACGAGCTCATCTGACAACAGGTAAGGCCTCTAACAGGAAACAGGGCTCTTCAGAAAAATGCTCAGTCCAGGACCAGGGCAGGATAGGTACAAGAGGAGCCTGGAGCAGGCTAGCCAGAGCATAAAGGGTGCTAGCCATCAACATCATCATCATCCACATTTTCAAAGGTGGGACCTGTAACAGAACAGAGGCCACAGTTTGAAGGTGCTCTTTTTGGCCAAATCTGGAATAATTTGAGCACCAAAAGACAGTACAGCAGTGAACACATTTAAGGTACCATCCGGTGAAAAATGCCAGGATTCCTAAGTTCATGCCAGTGAGTAGATATGCAAATGGAGAGGTGGAGCCATTGCTACTGTAAAGCGCCAAGCATCAAGCTGAAGGCTGTGCTGGGCAGGGATCTCCCTTTTGTGCCATCAGTGGAATAGCCAGGTCAGGCGAGGATCATCCATGAATAATAAGTTTGGAGTGGGGGGATTCTAATGAGGACCAGGATATGTGCATGGTCCTAAACAACCGCCCTCTCCTCTGGGACTGATCATTACAAGGGGGAACGTGGTGATCTTACAGTGGAGAAGTTGGGCCACTCCTGGTCCAGGTGATCAGAATTCGTCTCATCACCGAGGCACAAGTGGGCATCTCATGCTGCCACAGGCGACCTCTGAGCACATGCATCTCCTATGCAGGGTCTGGGCTGAGGATGGAGAACCTGGATCTAACTGAGAGGAAACACCTAACAAACCCCGAGTGAGCAACCTCCCATTCAGCAGTAAGGACAGCTGAGTCCTTTAGAGTCATCAGTGCCATCAAAGACGAAGTTCCAGGCAAATGTTCCAGGTTACAGACAGCGACTGCATGTGACGCTGGTCCTACACCAGGGCTGGCTCAGGCAGGGAGAGTGCCCCAAAGACACCATGGCCCCGACTGACACAACAGGAACACATGGTGGAACAGACAACACCGAGCATCTTTGTTAGATAAACTAGAATTAATGACTGCACCAGGGTAAGGTAATATCCCTGTTCCTGTTCTTATGAGATATACATCAAAGTGCTTAAGAATAAAGGGCCATGACAGATCTAACTTATCTGCTGTTGGGGTGTGTGTGTGTGTGTGTGTGTGTGTGTGTGTGTGTGTAGAGAGAGAGAGAAAAGGAGGAAACATAAATGATAAAGCAAAAGGGAAAATAGTAACAGGACGTGAATATGGTGACAGGTACAGAGGTATTCCTCGTGCTATTTTTATATTTATTTATTTATATTTATTTATAGAATGGTATGATAATAGTTCACTGCACCCTCGACCTCCTGGGCTCAAACAATCTTCCCGACTCAGCCTCCTTGAGTGGCTGGGACTACAAGTGCACACTGCTGCACCCACTCATTTTTCTAATTTTTTGTAGAGACGAGATCTCACTGTGTTGCCCAGGCTGGTTTCAATCCTTGGTCTCAAGCAGTCATCCTTCCTCAGCCTCCCAAGTTTCTGAGATTCCAGGTGTGAGCCACTGTACCTTGCCCTTGTACTATTTTTATACTTGCAATGTTTCTGTAAGTTTAAAATCATTTCCAAATCAAAAGTAAAAAAAGAGAAATGCTGATGTGCTACTTCGCCATTTAATGAGATTTTGGTTTGGGTTTGGATTGTTTTTCATAAATGCCTGGACTTCTGACATATGCGAGCCCTCCTGGAGAGACCGTCTAATCTAGAAGAATGGAAGGCTGAGTCAAGCTTTGCACGGGGGCTCTGCTCAGCCCAGCATACGAAGAGATGGCCTCCCCCTATCTGGGAGAAACCTGCTCTCTCTGTACCTAGTCAATGCAAAACTGGTCATCTGAATGGCCTCAGCAGCTCAGGATGAGGTCTGACTTAGTTTTGAATACAGGCACTTTTTTTAATAGTGCCCAAGACTTGTGTTTAATGAAAGTACTTCTTTATTTTTAATGTTTTCTTTTGATGTGCACTTAAAACATATTCAGACATCAAGAGTGTGAGCTTTTTAATGGCAAAAACTTACTAAGGTTCATAATCCCTCTTAAAAAAGCAAGCCTTCCATTTTTAATTATGGTAAAACACTGCAAAACAATTCTGGGCAGCAGACATCCCACACAATCCTAATCACGAGAGCAGTAGGGGTTCCCTGCTCGCTAGAGATGCTGAAAGGCCCTCATGTGTCCCATCAGTCAGGGAGTGAAATCATGTTGGCTCTCATTACAGTTATATGAAGGACATATTTTTATGCTTTAATTTAGAGATATGGCTCCAAATAGCACCAGGCTCAGTTAATATCCTGAAACAAGATTTTCCAACCTTGCAGATTTGCACTGGGAACGGCTTACAGCTGACTTTCCAAATAGAAAGCTGCATTATTAATGATGCCCCATAAGACTTCAGCTGAGCGGGAGTGAGGCTAGTGGTGAAATTAAAATAAAATATTAATAAAATTGACTTCAGCACAGTCCATAATTAGTTATCAAAAATGACCACATGGTAGTACAGGAAGCCACTGAATCTTGGTTCTGCCCCGAACACATGGCATCCCCGGGCACCCAAGCAGCTCTGGGGGCGGGGGGAGTAGGGTTGAATTCTTCTCACCGGCTTCTTGCAGCTGCCGAAGAAGTCGGGGTCAGAGATAGGGTCCATGAGATAGGACCGGATGATGTTGGCCCGCAGTCCTTTTGGAGCCTCATTGGTTATCTTCACCCCGTTCTGCAGAACTGACACAGGGAAGTTGGGGGACGGGTAGCTCGTTAGCCATATCCGGAAATCTGGGTGTGTTGATTCCGGGCTTAACTCCTGTAAGAGCACATTGGATACAGGAGGGTAAGAGAAACCCACAGAAGATCTCCAGCGCATGCACAGGGACAGGTGGGAAGGGCAGGAGGCGTCTACACAGCCGAAGTGCGACTGTGCAACATCAGCAAAAGCCTTGAGCCCTGCCTCCGCCCCGAAACGACATGCTCACTGGAAGGCCCAGAGCACTGTCCTCCTCCTCGATGAGATTAGTTCACATGACTTGGAAGTTTACAAAGGTGCCACACGATTCAGAGTTGACCAGTAACTAAGTTCACAGCCTCTGGTGTCTGCACCATACTGCTGAAAGAACACTCTGGGTGGAGGCTATTCCACCCTCCTCGTGTAGACAGGTGGTGAGAACAAGCAACACACTCAGCCAAACCCACGATACACCAAGGAGGGATTTAAAAAGAGTATTTTAAAGGGTGAGAAGAACTGGGACACCCTGAAGCATCAAAACTTATCACTGTTGGTTATGTTTGTTCAGAGGATGGTCAGGCAGAGGATGAGGACTCAGTGCTTTCACAAAGCTGTGCAGGGTCCAGGGGACTCATCCAGTCCAGTCCCATTCCCTACTGCCACCTCCTCATTATCCATGCCAGCGCTGTCAACATGTCCTTAATTGGGAAGTTGTTATCAGTAAAAAGTTCTGAGTGCTCCTCCAGTGAAATGTGGTTTGGGAAGGAAGAACAGGCATCTACGTTCTGGAGTAACAGTAGGCGGGTGACACACCATGGTTTCTCCTGACAGCTGCCCATAATCTAGTGACAGAAGTAATATGATGAATGGAACTGCGCCAAGTCTGCTATACACCAAAGGCAGCTCTTTTCTCTCCTGGGCCTCTGGCAGTTACACAGGACACAGTTCCCCAGGCCTAAGAGTGGCCAGAAGACAGAGGAGCCACAGGAGAGGGAGACAGAAACCCGCTCCCAGGAACACGTGTCAGTGAGGCAAATGACAGAAAGGATTATTTCTCAGACAGAAACAACATCCGTCATGATGACGGGTGTTCCCGAGAATGCGTGCTGTGCCTGTGGGTGTGAGCAGCCTCGGCAGCTGCAGGGCAGGAATCAGGCTGGAAAGGGCCCAGAGAGGACGGTGAGAGGCAAACGGAGGCCAGGCTGCGAAGGCAGGCAGGGCTCAAACAGGGCCTTACCGACGGGGGAGCCAGGACGGGGACAGTCAGTGAAGCCACGTTCAGTCACCAATTCAATAAAGACTTACTGACTGTCTTCTTGGGCCACACTGTTCCAGGTATGGAGACAGAGGAGGGAAGACAGCAGGGGACAGCAGAGTCACTGTCTCCATGGAGCTTGCATTCTCACAGGTGGAGGCAAGACAGGGTGTGACACATGGCTCTGAGGAAGAACCATCTCTGAAGGTCAGTCAAGTGGCTGGACAGGGCGCATTCTACAACCACTTGCTTATTCCACAGCCTGAGCCCCAAGAGGGAGTGGGGGCGCCAGACCTCAGGTGGTCCCCGAGGACACATCTTCTCTGTGTCTGCTGAAATCATGCCAGGGTTTCTGTGGACTCAGCAGAGCTATAAGGAGCCTTCCTCCCAGGGTCTCTGCCCATCCAGATAGGAAAGACCCCCTGACCCGCTATAGGTAGGGTGGGGGCAGCCCCTTCTCAGGTCCTGATGGGTCCTCCGTGGCAGGGTAACTGGCCACATGGGAGAAGTGAGTCAAGGAAAAGTCATGTTCTGAAGCCTCTGCTGGCGAGTGGCCGTGTGAGCTTCACCTTGAATAGCCAGTTGCATATGGCCACTGCCATGATAAGGAGGTCGGCCTGTGGCCTACGGTCACATGAGCTTCGCCTCAGCCTCCTAGCTGTGTGTGGCCCACCACCGTGACAAGGAGGTCAGCTTCTGGCCACCCAGCAGTTTCCTCCTATTTGAGCCTGGCTCTCTGGATGAGATTATGTAAACCTCCTAGGATGAGCCCTGACCCACCGAGAGGGGTTTGCCAGTTTTGATGGGAGCTCTCTCAGCCCCGCTGACACAGTTCTCATTGTGGCTGTCTCCCTTTTGTTCAGCCATGCAGTGACCTGCAGCCCTATAAGAGGATAGGAATAGAGTAACTTGGGCAGCGTTGTGTTACTAATTGGATGGAAGGAATACAGTCAAATAAATACAAAACTGCAATGTTACCTCACACACTTTCTCAAGGGTGGGCATCCAAGAGGTAGCAAGGTGACAGTTCTGAAGAACAACCCAGCTTCCTTCCTTGACAGCTTTCTCTAGCATCTTCATAGCAATGGGCCCTTGGCCTTGACCAAGAGACAGAGAGCTAAGTTTGGATCCCCCAGACCGCTGTGGACAAAAAGAATAAAGATGTTATTTAAAATCACATTTTTAGAAGAATCAATATTGTTGTTACAAGAAATGTTCACAATAGCTACATTAGAATGGAAATCTGCGGCGTCTCTCAAAGGCCCAAATATACAACAGCCCTAAAAATCTACAAATTCACTAAAAATCCTATAAGCACTTAGATGAAAAGCAAGTCAATTCATGTAAAAAGAAATAGTAATGTATAAATGAAAAAATCTGTAGAATCTTTGGTGGCTGATATAAGGGATAGAAAAAAAAGAGATTTCTCACATCAGGAGGAACTGAGAGGGTCTGGCTGTCCTGCAGCTGCACCTAAAATCCAAAGCTGAAAGAAAAACCACGGACAGACAGATGGGCTTGTCCGATTCCCTCCAGATCTTTGAATAACTATGTTTCAATTAATTTGGCGACAGTATAAATTTAACAGAATAAAAAAGTTGGCCATTGATCCCCACTTAGGTTTCTTTAGAGAATTCCATGGAAGATTCTCCTGGAGCTGAGTCCTTCTATGTCTGGCCCCCTCCCCAGTGGCCACCCCTCCCTGGAGTGGCCACCTTTTGCTGGGCTGCCTTTTGGGCTGAGGCCCCATGTGGCAGCAGCTGAGAAAGGGCAGGGCCCGGCCATCTCTGAATGCCTAGCTCACCACCACTTGCGAGAAGGGACAGCAGAGAACACCCCGAGCTGGGCACTGCTGTTCCTGGAAGAAGTGAGACAGCAAGTGAGACAGGTGTGGAGAGGGCCGCATGGGACGGGGGGCTGATTATGCTGTATGGTGTGAGAGAGATGGAAAGAAGACCAGGAAAGGCGTGATAGCTTTCAGGGCATGCGGCCATGGAGGGGCGATCCCACAGGCAACCAACACTTCAAGCTGCTTCCACCACGTCTACTCTGCCACCCCCTCACTTGTCTGGATGTGCACAGCCCCTGCTGGGTGCCCTGCTGTCACTGTGTGCATTCAACTCCATCCCACATCCCCTGGAATGGCTTCTACATGAGAGTTAGAGCCCCTCTCCCATCCCCTAAAAGCCCCACGCCATCTGGTCCTCAGGCCTCGGCCCTCACCTGCCCGACCACCACAGTCAGTTCCAAACACTTCTTCAATAAACAGAAGGTGCCATGTCAGCCACTCAGTCCTCTAGTGTAGCAGAGCTACACCCATGCAAACAAACTGCAATTGATAAAGATCTGGAGGAAGCAGGACAAGTCCATCCTTCTGTTCATAGTTTTCCTCTCAGCTTTGGATTTCAGGCACAGCTGCAGGACAGCCAGGCCCTCTTATCTCCTCCTGATGTTGGAAGTCTTCTATTTTTTTCCTAACCCTTATATCAATGTTTTTTGTTTTTTATTTTTTGGCTTCAGAAAGAGTATTTCAACCTTTCAGCCATGCAGCCTTTGAGAAGCCACTCAATCCCTCAGTGGTTCCATCTATACAATGGAGACCATACCACCTACCTCACAGGATCACTGTAAAAATGAAAGAAAACATATATAACAAGGTGTAGTAAAGGCAACAGTCTATTTAAGTGTGCCATAAAAGTGATGATAGTAGTTTTTAAAATGTCAGTAGTATAATATTACCCAAAAATATTTACTTATACCAAAGGGAAAAAAATCAACTCAAAGATGCCCGGTCAACTGTTTATTATTATTTTCTGATTCTAAACAATATAAAGCAAGAATATTTATGGTGAATTTTTTTAAATAATTTTTTTTTTGAGTCAGGGTCTCACTCCGTCACCCAGACTGAAACGCAGTGGTATGATCATGACTCACCACAGCCTTGACCTCTTGGGCTCAACCAATATTTCTGCCTCATCCTTCTGAATAGCTGAGACTATAGGTGCCACCATGCCCAGCTAATTTGTTTTTTACTTTCTTTAGAGACAAGGTCTCACTACATTGCCCAGGCTGGTGTCAGACTCTTGGGCTCAAGTGATTCTCCTGCCTTGGCCTCCCAAAGTGCTGGGATTACAAGCATGAGCCATCACATCCAGCCTACTTGAATAATTTTTAAAGCCTAGGAATGTAAATAGTAGAACATATTGCAGTCTGGTAAAGTTGCTGTATTGTATGATTGTTCTGAAAAGTCAAAGAAGGACCTCTTTAGAGACTAGAAGAGGGGCAGAAAAGGTTTACTCAGAGTCATTGTAGAGACTTGAATTTATTTATTTATTTATTTGAGCTGGAGTCTCACTCCGTTGCCCAGACTGGAGTGCAGTGGCATGTTCACAGCCTCCCCAGCATTGAACTGCTGGGCTCCGGCGATCCTTCCACCTCAGCCTTCCAGGTAGCCGGAATCTATTGTAGAGACGAGTTCTCGCCCAAGTTTTCTGGGCTGGTCTCAAACCCACAGGCTCAGGCAATCCACTTACCTCGGCCTTCCAAAGCACTGGGATTACAGGCTGAGCCACCAAACCTGACAAAGGCATGAATTTGTAAAACAAATCCCAGCTCATACACTGATGCCAGTGATGCCAAAGATGTCACAGAGTTCCTGGTCCACCACAAATAAAAGAAGAGCAAGTGCCCCTCAGATCCAAATTCTATTATATAATTTGGACAAGGGACTATCTTAACAAAGCTGCTGCTGCCCAAGTATCATTTTCAGGGGGTTTTGTCACCCTCTGGACCCCCCAAACCTTTCCCTCACCCTTTAAGGGTTCATTTACAGGCATGTATTGCTTATGGTATCAGATGACTCATATGCTGTAAGGTACCTGGTCATCGGCGAACTTGAGAAGGGCAGCCATCGGGTCTGCTCCGGGCGAGAGCACAAAGATTAGTGGGGCACAGCAGTGACTATCTGCGAATGCCTTGGACAGGTCAAAGGGCGGGGGCTCAATGAATACGCGCCCCAATCTATGGATTATAAATTCCTGCAACATTGGAATCACCTAGAAAAGGACAAGAACACATTTAAATGAATACTCAAGATCTGACTGAAGCCTTCAGAAGTCTAGATTGAAGGGGTTTTAAAGCAGAGAACTTGACTCCACTAGCTCAGCTATCCTCCAAAAGTGGAGGATCAACAGCAGCACCGTTCCTATATAAATGCCTCTTAGATAGGAAGCATAAGTATTTACACAATAAAAGGTGGGTGGTAATTGACACTAAAATTCAAAGGCCTTTTCTCTTTCTTTTGATGACTAGTCAAGAATAGTGGATGAAGGAGAAACCTGAATCTTACATTTAAGTCCCTGATCTTGTTCCAGAAGCCCACATTTGAAAGCAGAAACTTTAGCGTAAATTATACAAGGTTTCCCATGCCATCAAGAAAGAACTGATGCAGGCCAGGTTCAGCGGCTCAGCCTGTTATCGCAGCACTTTGGGAGGCCAAAGCAAGTGGACTGCCTGAGCCCCCGAGGTTCGAGGCACCTGTAGTTCCGGCTACTTGGAAGACTGAGGCAGAAGGATCGCCAGAGCCAGCAGGTCGACGCTGGGGTGGCCATGAGTGTACCACTGCGCTTCAGCCTGGGCGACGGAGTGAGACTCCAACTCAAAAAAAAAAAAAAAAAAAAAAAAAATGATGCTATTGGGGAAGAAGGAAAGGCAAAGCCCTGAGAGAGAGAGAGACACAAGGCACAAGCCAAGAAAGAGCCGTGCTATGCAGAATCCGCATGCCCGAGGCCTTCCGGGCCCATCTGGGAAGGAGCAGAACTCTGTGGCCTGGTGGCTCCTAATGGGGCCCTCCTGGCGTGGACAGGGAGTGGAAGAACTCTACTCACAACCCAGGCGTGACCCAAGGGCAGCTAGCAGACCAGGACCCCGGCTCCGTGTGCTGTGTGGCAGTCGCTCCCTCACACGCATGCCTCCTCCCCAACCTCTCAGCGCCCGCCCTTCCTTCGTGCCGCTGGTCCCGTCAAGGGGCCCGGACAGCCTTGGAAGGCACTCAGCCTTCGCCTTTCAGCCCAAAGCAGGCAGACACAAGGAAGGAAAGTGAGACAGCACAGTGAAGAGCAGAGGAGGAGGAGAGGTGGGGAGAGCACTGGAGGCTGTCCTCTTCTGTCCCATGGTGTTCCTCCTGTCTTGCTCCCAGATCATGTGTGACTTCCACGTTGAGATTCTCTAGTATGTGTAAACAGAGCTACCAACCAACCTTTCTCCAGGAGCAGCGGTGACTATTGGGCTGAGTAAACTGATGAACCACATTGCATAGGTGTCTGCCGCTGCTTCTCAGTGACACAGTCAAAATGCTGTCTGGGGTCAGGGAGGCGCCAGGTGACATTGCCTCCTGCTGGACTTTATGAAAGGAGCCACGGATGCACCCTTAAAAGGGGAGGTTGAAAAGAGCCATGTGTGCGACTGGTGCAACGCCCAGTCATGGGACTTCCTGGCCCTCTCTCTATTGAACTTTCTTCTCCGCCCAGGAGACATCCATGTTGAAGTAACAACTTCAGGTTGAAGTATTGGAATACCAAGTTAACTTTTTTTGAAATGGCTACTTTTCTACAGTATGTATCTTTTATTTCATATCCACTTGCCATGAATGAAATGTACACGTACTTTGCTAATGAACAGTTGCTACCCATGTGCATGGGGACACTGTTATGAACACAATTTACTTAATTACTGCTATGGTTTGGTTTGCGCCACCAAACCTCAGACTGAAGTTTAATCCCAGTGCAGGGGTGCTGGAAGGGGGCCTCATGGGAGGCATTAGGCCGGGGGTAGATCCTCGTGAACGGCTAGGTGCTGGGCTCAGGGCAAGGATTTCTCTTTTGTGAGGCTGGGTTGGTTTTTGTGGGAATGTTCCCGAGAGATCAGGTGGTCTTAAAGCCAGGAGCCCCTCAGATCTGGCCCTTCGCATGTGCTCGCTTCCTTCTGACTGTCTACCATGTGATATGGCATGCAGTCTTGCCAGGGGCAGAGCAGACGTACTTCTGGTACTTTCTAGCCTCAGGGCCATGCGCTAAACAGACGTACTTCTGGTACTTTCTAGCCTCAGGGCCATGCGCTAAACAGATTTCTCTTCTTTATGAATCACCCAACCTTAGCATTGTGTTACAGCAACACAAAACAGACTAAGACAATTATCTAGCTTCCATTTGTCTCCTAGGCATCAACAGCCAAATGTACTTTTTCTGCTGCTCTGAAATATATGCATGTGCAAAAATTAAAGTAATAAATACTTGTTGTTCATATCTTAATCTCAAACTCTCACAAAGTAGTTGATCCCTCTTCACAGGACATTGTGAACACTATCTTACAGTTTAAAACACAAATCCAAGTAGATAAGAGACCATCCAGCATACCAATCTTGGAAGGGAACTGGGGGCTTATCAGGGAAAGGTTCTTCTGAAGGCCTCAGTGTCACTCTGACTGAACACCTGTTCATATACGAGGATGGAAGTGTGTGTGTACACAACACTCCAAATTACACCAACAATTCCCTCAGCCTTTGACTTTTCTCAACTTGAAGAAACCAGCAGGAGTAATTCTCAGATGCCAAGCATCTCAAAAAGATGGTGGTCTCTGGAAAAAGTTACAAGTCTTTCCAGACTTCAAAAGTATAGTCTATGGGACATCTATTTATGTAAGATTTAAGATTTTTAAGCAAAAAGCATTGATGTGTCACAATGCTTTTAAAACAGTGTCATTCCTGATGTGCTTGTGTTTGTGTGTCTGTGTGTGTTTGTATGCCTGTGTGATGAGGGTATTAGGGTAGGGAGCTGAGAGCAGGTGGAGGAATATCTGGGTTTAACTAGATTTCCTAATGCCTCCCAATATTTCTCTAGATTCATCCAAGTATGGAAAGAGGGATGGATGAGTAAGCACACTCCGGTGAGTGCCATGGCACAGGTACCTCCCAACACGATGCCCCACGTTCTGCTCAGCACAATTAATGTCAGTTGAATGAATGGATGGATGAACACTCAGAATGCCTACTTGTGTGAGGGTGAGGCTCTAATTACAGAAATTCCAAACAACAGTCACAGAATCCCGAATTCATCCACACATAAAGTTCCACGTCTAGACAAGTTGGATCATCTTTCAGATATGTGAATGTCCACAGAAGTTGAGTTTATCACCTGTCCCAGGACTTGTCCATGTTTCCTCTGTATTATTATTTTCCTACAGCTGGACTTATCTTGCTAGATTAAAAAACAACCAACACAAGAACACATTTTTTCGCAACCTCTCTCCTCCGAGACCACTTTCCCCAGAGTGTAGCTTTACTGTCACGGTAAGAAGTGCGAGGCCTTGAAGCACATGCTGTCCCAGTAGGAGGTTTGAGTGGTAAACAGCCTTGCACTTGTGAGCGGTCCAAGCTGACATCATTGCTGTGCAGGGGCAGACATAGTGGCAGGGTAGCACAGTTCTTGTGTCTGTGAGTGCTGGGACCATATTAGGGACACTCAGCAGGGTGCGCAGGGACAGCCCAGTGCTTCACCGTCCATGGTGAACAAAACGTGTCTGCCCCCAGGAACCACATAGGGTAAACATGAGGTGAATGTGGCCAAGGGTTGAATGGGTCCTGCCTCTGCAATCTGACAATGGCAGCATTAGTTTGTAAAATGAAATCCATCAGGAACAAAAATTATGGACTAATTCAGGCAGTCTTCCTCCCAAAGGCAGGAGAGAGGATGTGGTCATCCACGCATGTTTTGCAGTTTATTGCAAGGTCCTACGGGATTGATCGGAGGCCAGAGAAACATATTAACTTATATTTGACAGGTTCCTTATTGAGAGCTGATTAATTTGCTGTTTGTTTGCAGTTCAGAAGGACAGAACCGTGGCCAGAAGCTTTTCATTTTGTAAATGGACTCAAAACATTCAACACTTCAGTATTTATCCATCTGATGTGTTTCTTTGGTCAACAAAACATGATAAACTATTGTATTCTACAGAAGTGCGACTCATCTCATTTTCCCTGCTGGTGATTTAGTGAGTATCTTTTACCTTATTCCAAACTAGAGCTTAGAGGGCCTGGTATCAGTGGTTTCTAGCTTCTAAGTGGGTTTGAGGGGAGAGGGGTAAAAAAGAGCCCCCCACCAAACTGTGCTGACAAGGTACACTGTGAGCTAGAGATCAGTAATTGCCAATTTTCCTGCCGAGTATGCAGATCATCTCTTGACTGGGAGATGGAGAAGGAATAAAAGTCTTAGATATCAGCCCCATGTGGCATTGCTTCTTTCCCTGGTATGCTATCACCATCCTGCCTTGAAAAAACATTCTTCTAAAGGCATCACAGCCAGACATCGTTTTATCATATATTGATTACAAAAACCAACAACTCACCTCTAGAAATTGGAGTACATGGTAACAGTAAGAGGAAAGGGTTTGGAATGGCTGGGTAATCGAATGGCATACTAATAATTATTTCTTATCAAGGAACTGGGTGTGAAGTTTTAACCAATGGAAACTCATTAACTGTATCCCTTAGGACAGATGGAGGTTAGCTGTAATAGCAGTTTCTGAAACACAGGGGCTTAACAATGAAGGCTTGTGTCTCATCCTTGCAAAGTCACCTGGGTGTGCAGTCTACTAACCCACCACGCACTCACTAGCTCAGTGACCAAGCCTGCTTGTGGTCCCAAAGAGCAGCACGTTCCATGGCTTTGATGGCAGGGCGGCGCCTTGGAGAATCTTGCTGGCAGGCAAGTGCCTCTACCCTGACACTTTTGCTTACATGTGTGGTCAAAGCAAGGTATGGGGTCATGACCCCTCCACTTCAGAGTGCACAGAAGGAGGGGGAGCCAGAAAAGTTGGTGAGTAGCACTGTCTGCACACTTGTCCATCTACCTGAGGAAGATGGGAACACTCTAAGGAAACTTTCAAGTATACACAAAAAGGTGACTAGACAGGGTGCTGACATGCTGGACAGAGGAGTTGAGAGAAGGATAAAACTGTGAGTTTAATCTCCTCTGATTTAAAAACAAACAAAAAACATACAAGCAATTCCCAGATGCCCCCAAAAAACAAAACACCCCAGCTTGTATACCTAACTCCCCACCTCCCTCAAATATACAATAAAAAGAGAATGAAGGTGGAAAGTAATATTTGATCTATTTGACAGTTCAATGTCTTTTCAGATTAAAGTGTCAATATTTTAAAAGCATGAAACTGGGGGAAAGATGTTTATAGATGAAACTGCTGCAATTAGGAAATGGCTCATTAATCACTTTTAAATTAAACAATAAAAAACATGAACAGAGTTTCTTATTTCATATATTAAGGAGAGAAGGTTAGTTGATGTGATATTTCTTTATTTAGAAAACAAAGTGTAAAGCTGAAAATTGTATCAAAATGTTTTCAAGGAGGAAATCGTATTAAGAAAGTATCTTTAACACTTGAGGTGAAAACTGCCAAGGCCTGACAAAAGGAAGCCTGAACCACTGTAGTCACTCCGTACCTGAGAGCAAGACAGCATGATGACTTGTGTGGGCTTAGGTGCTGTGGGGTCCCTTCCTCCATGGAACATATTTTACAATAGCATTTTACAATTGTTTTGGTATAAAGACAAACATAATACACACTGGATTATATTATTCTTATTCTGAAAGAAATTAAAACATCTTCATGAACCTATAGAAAGATGGTAGGTGCTAGGCACTGGGTCTCCTGTGCCCACTAAATACTTGGGCCTTGGCTAAAACAGACAGCCAAGTCATGCAAGGATCACATGTGCTCACTGAGCAGACTACAGCTCACAGAGGAAAACATGTCTCCACCCATATTATCACTAATGTGTATAAAGATTTTTTTTTTTTTGAGTTGGAGTCTCACTCTGTCGCCCAGACTGGAGTGCAGTGGCTGCTCCCGGCCACCACAGCCTCGACCTGCTGGGCTCTGGCGATCCTTCCGCCTCAGCCTTCCAAGTAGCTGGAACTACAGGCGTGCGCTACCACACCTGGTTAATTTTTTTGATTTATTGTAGTGATGAGGTCTCACCAAGTTGCCCAGGTGGGTCTCGAACCTGCGGGTTCAGGCAATCCACTCACCTCAGCCTCCCAAGGCAGGGGATTACAGGCTGAGCCACCGAGCCCAGCAAGATTTTTTTTTAATGTATGTTGTCTGCATCGGTTAAGTTCTGCTTTTTCTCGTTAGGGTGGAGGCAAATGTCTTCTCTTCCTTAACAACTGAAAGTGTGAATACAATAAGTTTTGAAATATTTATATAAACGATTATTTGATACAGCAATGGAAAACTAGGATATTTTCTCCATTCTTATAACTAACATCTATATTTTCCAGAGTCTATTGGCATCTTTGGGAATATGGGACAATATACTTAGGTGGGCTTTTTTTAGTAACATAATTCAAATGAAGAGATCAGTGAGTGCTGAAATTTGCTGACATGACAGGTTTACTGTTTGGTGGTTTATCATTTAAATAAGCTAAATGTAACAATATTGATGTTTTCCTGTGTTGTCAAAAATGATGAATGTCTTAAAGACAATATTTGACTTGCCTTCTAAATTCCAACAAAACAATATGGAAGGATAGAATCTGATGAGTCTAGAGATTCTGTTACCTGAACTTGATGTCAACACTGGCTAATTTCACTGCAGTGATAAGAATAAAAGTGAGGGCCAGGCTCGGTGGCTCAGCCTGTTATCCCAGCACTTTGGGAGGCCGAGGCAAGTGGATTGCCTGAGCCTGCAGGTTTGAGACCAGCCCGGGCATCTTGGTGAGACCTCATCTCTACAATAAAATAAAAAATTAGCTGGGTGCGGTAGCATGTGCCTGTAGTTCTGGCTACTTGGAAGGTTGAGGTGGAAGGATTGCTGGACCCTAGCAGATTGACGCTGGGGTAGCCGTGAGCGTGCCACTGCACTCCAGCCTGGGTGATAGAGTGAGACTCCAACTCAAAAAAAAAAGAAAAGAATAAAAGTGAGACTATAGCATACAAAGGACATAGACTATAAATCATGAAACCATAATAAAATGAATAATCACAAGATAAATAGAAAGATAACATATACGAGAGGGGACCTGCCAAAAACCAGAACTTATTTATTAAAAATTGTGTATTTATTCTTACATGTTTAAACTTCAGTCACCTTCAAAGTATTCTTTGATGCAATATACCTATTGAGACGCTTTTCCCACTGCTCTAAACAGCTTTTGAACTCACCAATTTTGATGCCTTTTAATGCTTCTGCTGTTTTTTGTTTCACCTCTTCCACATAGGCAAAGCATTTCCCTTTGAGGACTTTTTTTCTTGAGGGAGATCAGGTAATAGGCAGGGTGGGACATGGGGGTCATGCAGTTTTTGGTCAAAAACTGCTGAACACTCAGTGTGGTGTATGCAGGTGTGCTCATAAGTCACCCAACATGAAATAAGCCAACGCATTGAAAGAATCTCTAAAAAAAATTCACTCAAGTGGAATACAACCTCTCACAACAATGCTAGCTGGTACACTGATGCCAAGGGGTTCCTAGAACATTTTCCAAATGGGAAAGCCTGTACTATAAGGGGCCCACCCTCCAAAAGATAATTCCTTTTTTTTTTTTTAGGGTCCCTCCTTTTAACCTGGTGAGTTGTGAGTTTAGAATGGTCTTAACAAATTAGGATTTTGGAAAATGACTGCATGAGCAAGAAGTGGGGCTACTTCTTGCAGGCCCCTGCCCTCCCTGTGATCATAGGAAACATGTGCTGGACTTCTCAGTACAGGGATGAGGGACTAAACCCCAAGCTGCTCTCAAAGTCCACATTTACCTTGTCTGGCCTTAAGCAGCGAATGATAAGCATCCTTTGAAATTCATCTGTTTTTCTTTCCCAGTCTTCAGGGAAAACCTCATGGTGTGGGTCCTAAAATTACGGTGAATATAATTCAATGTTATTTTGAAGACTTTCATTCTTATTTTAGATTCAGAGGGTACACATTCATGTTTGTTACATGGACATACTGTGTGCTGGTGGGGATTGGGTCTCAGGTGGTCCATTCCCCAGATGGTGAACATTATACCCAACAGATGATTTCTGAATCCTAACCCCCCCCACCTCTCCCCTTATTGGTGCCCTCAGTGTCTATTATGTTCATCTTTATGAGTTTAGCTCTCAAATAAGTGAGAACATGCGGTGTTTGGTTTTCTGTTTCTGAGTTAGTTCACTTAGGATGATGGTCTCCAGCTCAATCCGTGTTGCTGTAAAGCACATGATTTCATCCTTTTTATGGTTGTGTAGTATTTATTTTGAAAATTATTTCTTAAAATAACAGTGTTGTGGCTTATAAACCAATTTTTGGAGAAAACATATAATAACTGAATGAACTCGAGAACGTGTCTTTAAATTTTATTATTTAGTATAAGGTTGGGACAAAGTTATGAAATAAATAATGAGAAGAAAATTTAAAACACTTCGAAGGAATCAAAACTAGAATATGAAGAATGCATATTAGTGTCAATATGAATAGCAACAAATAGATAAAATGATCCCTTTTATGAAAAAAGTAAATAGACATGTGGGACTATTTTCCTATTATTTCTCCAAAGGCATTTCTAAAAACATACCCACTTCTCTCATGACATATTTATAAAAATAAATATTTATTACGAAAGAAGTAGAAAGGGCATTGTACTAAAAGTTATGCGCTATTTTTTGTTTTGAATAATTTCTTGAATTTTTTTTTGAGTGAGGGTCTTGCTCAGTCACCCAGATTGGAGCACAGTGGTATGATCACAACTCACTGCAGCCTCAATCTCCTGGGCTCAGGCAGTCCTGCCTCAGCCTTCTGAGTAGCTGGGGCTATGGGTGCATGTCACCATGCCTGGCTAATTTTATTTTTATTGTTTTTGTAAAGATGCTGGTCTCAAACTCCTGGGCTAAAGTGATCCTCCCTCCTTGGCCTCCCAAAGTGCTGGAATTACAGGCATGAGACACCACATCCAATCTATATCTTTTTTTTTTGAGTCAGAGTTTCACTCTGTCACCCAGGGTGGCGTGCAGTGGTAGCTCACAGTCACCACAGCCTCGACCTGCTAGGCTCAGGAGATCCTTCTGCCTCAGCCTTCCAAGTAGCTGGAGATACAGGTACATGCCATTATGCCTGGCTAATTTTTTAAATTTATTGTAGAGATGAGGTCTCACCAAGTTACCCAGGCTGATCTCGATCCCCTGAGCTCAGGCAATCCTCTCACCTCTGACTCCCAAAGTGCTGGGATTACAGGTGTGAGCTACCGTGCCCGGCCTCAGCCTGTATCTTTTTATATAAAGTGAAATTTGAGAATGAGTATAAGTAAAGAAGAAGCCATTAGAGAGAGTGCTATTAAAAATATAGAAAAAGAGAGGACTCAGGATCCCAACAGAGAGGAAAATCTTGAAAAAAGTAGACACGGGCCTGGGTGTGGTAGCTCACACTTTAATTCCTGGCATTTTGGGAGGTTGAGGCAGAGGATCACTTGAAGCCTGAAGTTCAAGATTAGCCTGGGCAACACAGTAAGACTACGTCTCTACAAAAAACAGAATAACGAAAAAAATTAGACAGGGAGTGGTAGTGTGAGTCTGTAGTCCCAGCTACTTGTGAGGTGAAGGCAGGAGGATGACTTGAGCCCAGGAATTTGTGGCTGCAGTGAATTATGATCGCACCACTACACTCCAGTCTGGGTGGCAGAGTGAGACCCTGTCGAAGGAAGGAAGGAAAGAAAAAGAGAGAGGGGGCATGTGTACTTCCGAATTTTCAGGAAAAACTATATGGCATCCCAAACCAGAGATCTCCATGCTTCAGTAGAGTGAATAAAATTTTGATTTTAAATTAGAATAAAGTACTCATAAAAAACCTCTTTGCCTCTAGAACATATTTTTATTACTAGCAAGTAGAAATTCAAAAGGGAACCCTGCCAAATATTTGAGTTCATGTGAAAACACAATCTCACTATCACATATAATACAAAAGTAGGTAACAACATAAGACATAAGTTCACCAACTGAAAAAGGGTCTCCACGTAGCTAGCTCTTTCTCTCCTCTAATTCCCCCCAAGCAGAGCTGCTGCATATTAAACTCATGGAAAGCAGAAAGTAGAGTGAGTGGAAATAAAGGAGTAGAAAAAAATTAACTAGTATTTGGAAAAGTATTTGCCCTTGTGCTAAAGAAAAAAACAGGGAGGGCAACACTCACTCCATACCCCAGAAGGAAAACTGGGAGTATCATGGTTGTATCAGGTTAGGACAGTCTCCAGGCTGGGCTCAGTGGCTCAACCTATAATCCCAGCATTTTGGAGTGGATTGTCCAAGCCCGCAGATTTGAGACCAACCCGGGCAACTTAGCAAGACCTTATCTCTACAATAAATAAAAAACTAGCTGGGCATGGTGGCACATGCCTGTAGTTCTGGCTACTTGGAAGGCTGAGGTGGAAGGATTGCCTGAGCCCAGCAGGTCGATTTTGAGGTGGTGGTAAATGTGCCATTGCACTCCAGCCTGGGCAACAGAGTAACACTCCAACTCAAAAAGAAAAACAAAAAACAGTCTCCAGTTCGCAAGACAAGGTATCATGAAAATTGTTTTAGAACTACTGCAGTAACTTGTATCTGCATTCAGAAAACCTAGATAACAGCTTCTTTGTAGAGTTTTAACTCATCTGATATTAGGATTGCCAAGATCTAAATTGATAGTGAGTAAAAATCTGGCATGGAAATTCCACAAAAAATATCATCAAAGACCATGCAGCTCCATAGAAACTCTAACTTAGAAGGTGAGGATAACATCAATCAAAATTTGCATTTTAACATCTGGCCAGTTGTTTACAGCTTATTTAAATCTTGCTTTTGTGCAAAAATAAAGATACATTATTTAACATTCTTTTCTCCATTTAAAAACTCTGAAACAAGCAAGAAGGTTAAAACATACCAGACTATCGTATACTTTTTTCCATCCATCCTTTAAGCGCATGAAGTCCTTACGAATGGTTTTAAAGGCAGGCAAGTCATCTAATCGACATATTTCATCCCAGGATTTTTGAGGAAGCCATGTACAAGGGTTGGCATGAGGATTATCCAATCCAATGCCACCAGTCAGCAGAAATCTCCACTCAGCCACATTAACCTTTGGAAAATAAAGCAATGTAGAGAGTCAGGAGTGCTTGCATCATCAACAAGCAAGTTTACCACCATTTACCCAGAGCTGAGTGATGACCTGCACATTTCAGACATGGTCTCTATGAGATGCTACAGTTACTGATATAACTCAGGATTTATTCATAAGAAACCAATGTACCCATTATAATCAGTTTTCAAAATAGTTCTTTTTGACAATTTTCTTCCAGAATTACTGGTCTAAACATGAAACTATGAAAATATTCTATCCGAGTATATGTTTTCCGAAATAACTGTCCAGAGTCATATCGTCTCTAGAAACTGTAGAAAGACAGAAAGCTATCAATTTGTCATATTTTAAATTATTTTCCATAAAGTATATGATGTAAAACATTTATTGATGTAAAACATTTGCAAGAAATGCAAGAATAGGCCGGGCATGGTAGCTTACACCTATAATCCCAGCACTCTCAGAGGCTGAGGTGGGAGGATTGCTTGAACCCAGGAATTCAAGACCAGCCTGAGCAACATAAAGAGACCTCATCTCTAAAAAAAATAAAAATAAAAATAACTGGACATGGTGGTGTGTGCTTGTAGTCCCAGCTACTGGTGACTGAGGCACAGAATCACCTGAAATCAGGGGTTTGAGGCTGTGGTGAGCCAGGATTCAGCCTGAATGACATACTGGGACTCAAAAAAAAAGGAAAGAAATTCAAGAATAAAGTCTTTATTTCTTCAGAATTCAACCAGTGTATCATCACCATATAAAATCGGTAAATCTTAAACACGTGAGTGTAATCAGTAACCTCAAACACCACCTCTCTTTCATTTTGAAAGTGTTTCCTGTATCTTAAATGAGTAGATTTAAAAGACAGCAAAAACATATGTAAAATATTGTTAAGACCAAATGGTTGGATTTGACTAGATTGCACAAATTTTTTAAAACATAACCATTTACACTATTACTTGGTATAAATTAGTGAATTTATATGCCTACTTGTATGGAATTCTAATAAAAATAGATTTATTTTAAAATAAAACATATAAAATTTTAAGTAAAGGTAGCATAATGAATTCTGTGCTTAATTTGTATTTAATCTGTGAAATTTTCTTCTCAATTCCTCAACCAACTCATCTTTGACAAGGCCTCCACAACAATCACTGGGGAGGGAAGAACCTATTCAGTAAATGGTGCTGGGATAACTGGCTGACCACATGCAGAAGACTGAAACAGGACCCCATCTACTCTCATGCACAAAATCAACTCCAAATGGAACAAGATGAGGCCGCCCACTCTCACCCTTCCTGTTCAACATACTGCTGGAAGTACTAGCTAGAGCAGTCAGACAAGAGAAGGAAATCAGAGTATTTAAATAGGAAAAGAAGAAGTCAAGTTATCCCTCTTTGCTGACGATATGATCCTATACCTTGAAAATCCAAGAGAATCTGCCAAAAACCTCCTTGCACTGATAAAGGAC